CACTGGTATATACATTCTGTAAGAACAATTTGTTAATCAGGAATTGTTTACATTCATGGCCACAGCAAAGCTTTCAAAAGCATTATGGTAGACATGTGGAGGATTTCCAAATATGACTCATCAGTGACAAAAATGAAGTCTGATGCAATTCCCTGTTTTGACTTGTACCATATGTTCCCGTGTTTTTTCAGGTGAACAATTTGACTTGCCTTTCCATGTGTTTGTGATGGATGCCACTAGTTGGGCAGGAGACGGTCACCTTTTCGCGAACACCTGGTATCTTCACTATTTGACAGTGATTCATAAACACCTGGGCCCACTTGCACAAAGCGATCTTAGCGCTAAGATGATTGTAACTCCCATACTTCAGCATAGGCTTACAATAGTCTTAGCGCTAAGACTGCTTTGTGCAAGTGGGCCCTGGTACGATATAGCTGGAATCCAACAATAGGCTCTGCTTTTAGCAGATCATACTTAAGGGGGTGATTGGGTAGCCTTGTTGTTAAAGCGTTCGCTCATCACACCAAAGACCCGGGTTCATTTCCCCATGGGTTCAATGTGATATTTCTGAAATATTGTTGAAAGTGCGATAAAACCCAACTCACTCACTCACTCAATGCTACCTGGACCATTCGCTTCCATAATCTGGTTTGGAGATTCAAACGGCACAAAGCTTAAAAAAAGTTGTCTAATCAAATGCTCTCATGGAGGTTATAAATTCTGTTTTAAGTTAGTGATAGGAGGGATTCATTTAGTTTGTTTGTTTGTTGTTTAACACCACACTTAGCAACATTCCAGCTATATGACGACGATCTGTAAATAATCGAGTCTGGACCAGACAATACAGTGATTCTACTTGTCCAAAGATCAGTGCAGACTATAGAGGTTGATGTAAAATATCTAGATTTGGGGGGTTAACATGAAATATTGTATCAGATTTTCACCCAGCTCTAGTTAATGTTTCTAACCTTGCCTACCAGTTTAATAGATAACATATCCCTAAGAGGCAAGATTTGACTGCTGACGAGAGGTCTTGATGCTAATTAAGCTAATGTCATGATGATTGCTGCTGATCAGTGCTTAATTACACTTGTTTGTTTGTTGTTTAACACCGCACTCAGCAATATTCCAGCTATATGATGGCGGTCTTTAAATAATTGAGTCCGAACCCGACAATACAGTGATTGAGAACATGAGCATCGGTCCACACAATTGGGATACGATGACATCCATCAATCAAGTCAGCGAGCCTGACCACCCGATCCTGTTAGTCGCCTCTTACAACAAGCATAGTCGCCTTTTACGGCAAGCATGGGTTGCTGAAGACATATTCTTCTCCGGATCTTCACGGGTCGCTTCATTACAGATGATCCTGGACTTAAATGATGAATATTATTACGATGTACAAACTATAGATGCCATGCGAATCCTAATGAATACAGTTATTCCATAGAGGCTCACTTTTAGCTGAAAAAATTGCTTAAGGGACCTAACAACAGTTAAAAAATCATTTGCCTCAGAATTTCAGCTCCATACAACTTTTAAGAGGGTCATGTGTAAAATATGAGCAAGATGACAGATTGCCATTTATTTCTGGCAACTGACAATATATAGTTTGAAGATGAATATTGTAACTCAATTAAACATGAAATATATACTCAAGTAGACCCACAATTGTCGAAAGATACCAGTGTGATCTGCTTCTATATGGTTCTAATTTACAGAGATCATCGTGTACCTGGCTCCAATTAGAGAGGTGAACCAGTTAGTGCCAGATTGAAGTAGATAATGAAACTCGGGTTAGCAGACATGAAGAGTGTTGTCGGGGTACTGCATTCAATCAAACAGGCCAGGCCTAATTGGCAGCATCCTTGTTTAAGTCTGACATGGTCGAGGATGGAAATCTCAAAACTGGGATCCCACCAGGTACAACTTGTCTGTAAACAAAAGTGACCAAAACCATTTCAATAATTATAAGAAATATCCATTGTCCAAGAGTCCATTGTGTGATTCTGATTATATCATGAGCTTGTGTTTATGAATCGCTATCAAAAAGTGATGATACCAGTGTTCATGAAAGGTGAGCTTATCCTGCCCCATCAGTGCACCTGTCACAAATACATACAAAGGCAAGTCAATTGTTCAGCGGATAACACACAGGAAGTGGTACAAGTCATAATAATTAATTGCATGGGATATCAATTTGTGTAAAGTCACAGGAGTCAGTTTCATGTCGTGCCTCCTACACTGTATAATACCCAGAGAAGCACCAAGAATGAGTGCCATCATTTATACCCTTTTCAGAATTGAACCTGGTGCATGAGTGTCATGAATCAACACACTAACCACATAGCTATTCTACAGTCTCCACATTAGCTAATGGAAGTGAACTCAAGGAATGAGTTCTGCATTTTTCAAAAAATTAGCCTGGACATTCTTTCAGTTTCTGTCCGTTCTGTGATTGGATGTGGGAGTTTGGTTTTAACACTGCTATTTCAGTTATATCACAGAATGTCAGTTTGATGTCATGGATAGACACGGCCACTAGTCTGTTAGTCTGAGACAAGCAAAACTCAAGAGGGTCTAGTGGAACCACAAGTCTGAAGGAGCTGCAGATTAGTGTAATATCACCAATGGCATCTACCTCAGGATGTGGGAGGAAAGCCCAAATCGATGCAAGTTTTGAGGAAACCCATGAGAAGATGTATGACAAGCCTAGAAACACAACCAGGGTGAACAAAGGATTCGAACCCTTAGAGGCGCCTTAGACGACTGGGCCACCCATGCCTCCATACCTGGGCCCGGTTCCACAAAGCGATCGTAAGCCAATGTCATAGTATTGGAGTTACAAGCATCTTAGCGCTAAGAACACTTTGTGGAACAGGTTCCTGGTCCTGAACATGATGGGGTCATGAACCACCCACAAAGATACCCTCAAAATCAACTTCGCTAATGCACTCTCTTTGCTATTGGAAGGGAAAACTGAAAAAGGCTTTCACCATTTCTACCAACTTAGGGAATTGAACTCAAGTTTTGAAGCACTCGTTGGAGGCAACATGTATATATACGTCGCAAAAGAAGTTAAAGAACACCCACAATTGAAGGCTGTGTGTTGCAATACCCACCAGCCATGACAGATTAACAATAGTCATACAAAAAAACTTAGGTTTTCTTTCATTTCTATTGGGAAGTATACTATATCAGCTTTTGGTAGGGAGGAGACACAACGAAAGACTCACACAATGTCAACCCAGTTAGGGAATTGAACCTGGTCCTAAAGCATTACAAGTTACCACACTTACCACTAGACCATCTGACATCACCAAATGATTGCCTCATATTCTTTGCCTTTGCTGTTAACATGAGTGAGCGAGTTGGGTTTAATGCCACTTTTAACAGTATTCCAGTTATATCACGGTGTGTCAGCTTAATGTGGGAGGAAAGCCTGAAGTGATGCAGGTCACAGACATTTACCACTTTGGTGAAACCCACGAGCACGGGTATGGTGCTGACAAACCTAGAAACATAATCGGGGAGAACCGGGATTCGAACCCACAATCGTAGGTTTCTGGCATGCCCAAGGGATGCAACTCTTCACAGCGAATCGCTGCGCCTTAAGACAACTAGGCCACCCATGCCCCCCGCTGTTAACATGAGAATGAGCAGTATCATTATTTTTACCATTGTCAGTTCTTGCCCAATCTGAAACAAAAGATATTAAACATAGCAAAAGTTATATTTGTGTTCAAAATAGCAATAATAATGATGGTTAGCAATGAGTTGTGTTTGCCTGACTATATGGTAGTATTTTATCAACATGAATTAAATCAATCACAATGAACTGTCTCAACATATATACCTATACCATATATATGGAATGTTAACGCCAGAGAATAAATAACCAGTCTCAATTATCTGCCGAAACAGATTCCATTGAGCATAAAAGGCAAAATCGTGGTGAAAATTAGATAAATGGATCATTGAAAATCAGTGATGACACCAGGTGTTCGAAAAACAATCTAAGAAAGATGGTCGAACTCTATATTTTCCTCAGCGCTAAAGTTGAATAAGGATTTCTTCCATGTGCAGAGCTTCTATGCATGGCATGTCAACGTTATGAATAACTTACAAAAATCAACTCAGAAGCATCTGTAAATTCATCGGAAGCAAACCTCATGCTTTCTAAAAACCTCATTTCCGGGATGAAAATGCATGAAAATGTCATGTAAAAAAATCATTAATATATGGTAACACTTAACCCGTGAGATAAAGCATCAATATATAAAAAACATATTTCATAAAACTAATCTCCAGAAGCCAACATGAGAGACTCTATATTTGAGAAGAGTCTCTGGCACCGTGGAGAGATAAGCTGAGTTGTAGGGAGGAGCCCCCTGCTAGGATCTGTCCGTCATCTCATTGTTTACATAGTTAACCACCTCTACAATCCTCAGAGCTGCAAACTCCACTGTGAAGTTCCATCAGCCTAACTCTAACTGTGTCTACAGACAAATTTGGCCCAACTTGTGCTAATGCAAGACAATTTCTGAGATATTAATCCTGTCCAGGACCAGAGAGAGGTAACAAGCTCCGTGCCAGCCTGACAGGTCTAACTTGAGCTCAAATTCTTACATAAAGAAGAATCGTTGGAATTTGTTGTTGGTAGTTCTTCCCCGGGAAGGAATACTTAGTTTACAGTGAGGTATATGACATGTACTGACGCTTGCCAAAAGGTTGGAAAGACATGGAGACTCGGTGTACATCTGTGTGATAATGTTGGCTGTTTGGTGGTGGAAGTCCTTGGCATCTTATAACAAGTTAATTATGTGTGTGTGAGGCAGTGGGTCGGGCTGGGAGAGAGAGGATGAGAAATGTGCTGTGCTCTGACACGGCACAGCTATCACAAGTGATTAGATACTAGCTCTATGAAAACCGACACAAGGAAGGTTGGTACCCCTCGGAGAACCCACCGAGAGTAATTGGACAAAATTTGTACTTACAGAGGCGTGAGAGGTAGCGGGAGAGAGGCTGGAGACTCAAGCAGACGACACTGGTGAAGGGAGGATAAACTTCTCGAAAGTCTTCAGTCAAAACTTGTTCCAAGTTGTGAAGCGACATCACTTTTTGAAAGCTTTGAAAGGCAACAGAAGCAGACGACAATGGCAGACGGTCACAGGTCTGTGTAGCAGACGACAGTTTGTGTATTTATTGTGACAGAACGAGCAGCAGACAACAGCAGATGTCATCAGCTGATGCTCTCAGCTTTCTAGGCTTTCAACCATTCTCAATCAAATTTGTGCTTTTCAAGTCTGTTGGACAGTCTGAAAAACAGAGACGCTGAATTACTGGATTACTGCGGCAGTGTGAATCTATTGTACAGGTAGGTGTTTAGAATTGAGTCATGTTCAAACCATTTCAGACACCAATCAACTTTATATTTTCAACAAAATCAATTCTAAAGATACATACTTTATTTAAAACAAGTGTGATATAAGATTTCAGTGTATAAAAGTATGTAGACCAAGACCCCCATCATCGTAACGAAGAGGCGATAACGGGATGGTGTAACAGGATTTAACATGGAAATGAGTTGGAACCCTTTTTACAAAAACTGCAAAACAGAAGTACCTACTTTTGTGGGGTTAAACATTTCCTTTGACACGTTTAGTAATTAGAATTCAAACTCAAACCAGTAATAAAGCATTCAATCTGAAATTCAATATTTAAATTTTTTCATTTAGGACTTAATGTACATGTGTGACTCTTCATGAAAAAGCTGACAGCAGGGTCACTTAAAGTGAATATACTATTTTGTAACTTAAGTTACTCCAAAAGCGTGTTAAGTAAATTGCATGCATCCTGTAGAACCCGTGAAGTGAGTGGGGAACAGAAAAAGTAAATTATCTGCTGTTGGTTGGCGGCGGATTCCTCCAGTGCACATGTTTTTCATGCTGCCTGCTAATGGCACCTACATTAGCGAAGACAATTTGAGCCTCACTTTGGAAAGACAAGTAAATCCCACACAGGACGAGGATTATTCAATTAATTTATAACGTCATTAAACAAATCTTTAACTTCAAGAGGCCCGGCTTAAAAAAAGCACTTCAAGATCAAATGTAAAGTCTCATTATATTTTTATGGTCAGTTCATTAATTGGATTGGAAAGTTAAAGGTAAAGTCATTATAAATTCATTGGATGAAAATTGACTGATTAGATTTTATTGTAGGTTTACAATTAGGTCCTATTGTAAGTTTACGTTTAGCTTTTCATATTTGAAAGTTAAATGTTTCAAGTTGTATTATCTCCATTTCTGGTGGATGATTCTCTACACGAGAATGATGTAAAAGTAGAGTTTTTAAAAGATTCGTTGATAAGGTGTTTTTGTTATGTTTACATTTATCTTAAAAAATAATAATTAAAAAAAGTACTTAACTGAGTATGTCATTACTAACTTAAGAAAAAAACACCCTTTTTCAAAGAAAACTCACAATTTAACCAAAAAAGGCAACAGGTCTGATGAAAATGTCTGGGATTTGATCAAATAGTTTTTCATGTTGGTTTCTGGAAACATACATGTTTTTAGCTCAAGCAAAGTATTCCATTTTCCTGCGATTTCCCATGGCGGGAGTACAAAGGGATTTTTTTTCAAAATACAACCCATTAGATACAAATGATATGGATTTTCAAACAATACATTGAATTAAGTAGCACAAGCCTTTGCGTTTCGAGAGTTTTTGCCTCAATGTGTTGAAAAAATTGCTTTGTTATTTTGTTCAAGAAGAAAAGGTATTTTTCTGGAATGCATTTCACGCTATAAATTGTCACTGATAAATGTTTAGCAAATGCTTACAGGAAGTTATGACGTTTTACAGTGTCCTTGTTGATTCTTTAAATATCGTTTTAACATTTGTGTTTCATTTTTCTTCATCTTAAATGACATCAGTTTAAATGTACCATAAATAATATTAATAATAATAATAATTTATCATACATGTACATAAGTGTGACAAAAAAACATTTCCATAATTACAAGAAACTACTTAAAAAAAGAGTCCATTGTCGATGATTCCAACTGTATCATGAGCATGTTTTTATGAATTACTATCAAACAGTGATGATACCAGGTGTTCGTTTAAAAAGGTGCGCATAGCCTACCCACTTTGAAAGATTGAATGACACGTGAATGAGATATTGGTTATATTGGACATTATTTTCACATTTTGAAAGAAAGATGCAAAGATACAAATGTGACTATATGGTATATTCAGTATAGCTGATACAGAAAGAGTTTATAACACGTTTAGCACTTCTTTTGTGATTAAATACAGTTAACTACGGTTAAAACAAATTCAAAACGACCACTAATTTTAGTTTGTTATAAACGTAGTTCGTTTAACATACATAAGTTTGTGCCTTTTATCACCAAATGGGGCCATTTTATCAAATTTCCCCCAGACATGTGAACTTTGTTCCAATGTAAGATACACTTCCAGACAAGTTTTATCAGAATGAGTTTCGCAGGGTATCTACAATCAACTCCAAAAATGTCTAAATGAATGTGAGATTTTGTAAATATAGCATAATCGCACTTCCCTTTTGGCATGCTGTTCTCATGGAGATCCAGTCAAAAAAACAAGTGCCAATTCTATATGTGCACCTTGTAAAATTCTTACCGACTGAGTGTTTTGTTAACTAGACACCCTTCAAAAATCAGCTCTATTTTATCTTCAATCTAAAAACATAACCCTCCGTTATAACAAAACTGTTTCCTAAAAGCCCTCTTTGATCAAGAGACAGTTTGTGGTCAGGAATCAACTTTTTCCGATTAAATGCCAAACGTGCAGTCCCTCACTATAAGGTGAACATGGTCCTGAAAGATCATGTTATGATTCCCAAAATGTGTGTTATAATGAGGGAGTCCCTGGTGAGACCAAGGAAAGCCTGTTAGGGTAAGATGATAGGTCAAGTGAGGTCAAGTTTAAAAGAGCATAACGAAATTAATCACACTTGTTACAATTCTCATTTTTAACATGAAACATGATTCGTATCGCCCAGTTCTGACAAATAATGCCAACCTACCATCGAAACTGATAAATCTAAACATTATGCATTTGTACTTTGTTCAAGTTGAAAGTTGGAGAAAGTCTAAGTTTTCAGGAAAGCAGTATTCAGAAATGTAATCCATTTTGAAAAAGCTCTTGCAAATTTGAATCTGTTACACACACATTAAGTGAATGTGATGAAAGGACCCGACTAATCAAGTCCTATTTTATTTACTGCTTTGTTTCAATTAACAGATCTAAAAACTATTTTTCGCAATTGCAGTGAGAATGTGAATTTAGCTATGTGGAACATCACAAAAACGATGTGAATGTCTTGACAAAGTTAATACCCCTGTAACTGTTTAGGCAGTTACACTAATTAATTTATGTGGTGTCTTGGACTAATTTATGTGGCTTCCTTGCTGGTGTAGTTCGACTGCGTCTGCCGAGCATCTAGGGAGGCATAAATCAGAGCTTGCCTGGAAATGACGCGTGTGGCATCCTTCAAGAACACCATGCTTTATGTGGCAATTTTTTAAAGGAGGCTAAACAAAATATGTTTTTGTTTCCCATTCTATACCCTACCTTCTTTCAATGCCTCCTTGAAAAATACTTGTAACTTAAAAAAACCAATCCAAACATGTCGGATGCTTTGTTATTTGGACAGCCTTTCTTAAACAACACTGTGTCAGACAATTTTCAACACAGAAATACCTACTGAAGTTATTTTCATTGTCAAAAAATAATCACAATAAAATCTTTTTCATTGCTTGGCATTTCTCTGTAAATATGTCTTGAGGAATGTTTGAAGGTAAGTTTTTCGCAATTTTTTCGCAATTTTTGTAACATCATTGCCGTAGTGCTGAACAGAATGATCAATGTGATTGTATGATAAGCCTTATGATAATAATGCCAATGTGAGGGCTAAGTGGGCAGGGTGTCTGCTTGCAAAGAAAAGAGTCTGGGTTTGATTGTAATCTGAGGAGTGCATGGTGATGGAACAATACTACCAACGTACATAAAAGATCATTCAGAGGGATGATTCTAGATAGGTGGTAAAGCCAGGAATTGTACAAATCTTAGGACAACTCTAATATTTACATCCCAAGCCTTTAATCTGCCTGAAGCATTCGCTCATAATGTTAAAGTCCCTGGTTCGACCCCCTACATGGGTACAATGTGTGAAGCCCATTTCTGGTGTCCCCTGTAGTGAACTTGTTGGAATATTGCTAAAAGTGGTATAAAACCCTACTCACTCACTCACATCACCGATGGTCACCCTACTGGACACTGATGGTCACCTTACTGGACACTGATGGTTGCCTTACTGGACACTGGTGGTCACCTTACTGATGAGTGATAGTCAACTGACTGGACACTGGTGGTCACCTTACTGGACACTGAAGGTTGCCTTACTGGACACTGATGGTTGCCTTACTGGACACTGATGGTCACCTTACTGGACACTGGTGGTCACCTTATTGGACACTGGTGGTCACCCTACCGGACACTGATGGTTGCCTTACTGGACACTGGTGGTCACCTTACTGGACACTGGTGGTCACCTTACTGGACACTGGTGGTCACCTTACTGGACACTGATGGTTGCCTTACCGGGCACTGATAGTCACCCTACCGGACACTGATGGTTGCCTTACTGGACACTGGTGGTCACCCTACTGGACACTGAAGGTTGCCTTACTGGACACTGGTGGTCACCTTACTGGACATTGATGGTCAGCTTACTGGACAGTGGTGGTCACCCTACTGGACACTGGTGGTCACCTTACTGGACACTGATGGTCACCTTACTGGACACTGATGGCCACCTTACTGGACATTGGTCACCTTAAGGGACAGTGGACACCTTACTGGACAGTGGTGGTCACCTTACTGGACACTGATGGTTGCCTTACTGGACACTGGTGGTCACCTTACTGGACATTGATGGTCAGCTTACTGGACACTGGTGGTCACCTTACTGGGCACTGATGGTCACCCTACTGGACACTGGTGGTCACCTTACTGGACACTGATGGTCACCTTACTGGACACTGATGGTCACCTTACTGGACACTGGTGGTCACCCTACTGGACACTGATGGTTGCCTTACTGGACATTGATGGTCAGCTTACTGGACACTGGTGGTCACCTTACTAGGCACTGATGGTCACCCTACTGGACACTGGTGGTCACCCTACTGGACACTGGTGGTCACCTTACTGGACACTGATGGTCACCTTACTGGACACTGATGGCCACCTTACTGGAGACTGGTGGCCACCTTACTGGACATTGGTGGTCACCCTACTGGACACTGATGGTTGCCTTACTAGGCACTGATGGTCACCCTACTGGAGACTGGTGGCCACCTTACTGGACATTGGTGGTCACCCTACTGGACACTGGTGGTCACCTTACTGGACACTGATGGTCACCTTACTGGACACTGATGGTCACCTTACTGGACACTGATGGTCACCTTACTGGACACTGGTGGTCACCCTACTGGACACTGATGGTCACCTTACTGGACAGTGGTGGCCACCTTACTGGACATTGGTCACCTTAAGGGACAGTGGACACCTTACTGGACAGTGGTGGTCTCCTTACTGATCACTGATTGTCACCTTACTGGACACTGATGGCCACCTTACCGGAAAACAGATGACCACCTTACTGGGCATTGGTCACCTTAAGGGACAGTGGACACCTTACTGGACTTACTAGTGTTTTTTTATGCCGCACTCAGCAACAGATGGGGATCAGCAAAGTTATCAAGTCTGGACCAAACAATCCAATGATTCAAATTATGAGCAATAATCCTTGCCATCAACCAAGCCACTGAGCATGTCGACCCCATCCATTAGCAATGACGTCTTTGTTGGGGGTCCCATCAAATCAAACTCATCGAGGCACATTAAAGTGAATCTCCCAATTGTAATTTGAATCTCCCAATGACATAGCTCCTCAACAGTCTTCTTTCACATGATTGGGTGACAATAATTTGCAAACAAAGAACTTTTTAAACATTCAACATTGGCAATAACAAGATAGAAGCAAATATTCCCTCTACATGGTTCTTATTGCCTCATTCTAGCCTCCTCATTGACAATCTTATCTAATTCAAGGTAAAAACTATGTCCCCCATATACTTCAGTTGCATTTTCAAATATGCGTAAAAACAAATCGACCGCCAACTAACAGACCTTTGAAATCTTTGTAATGAGAACTGAAACATACATTGTTCTTTAGGCCTGTCATAATTTCTCAACAAACAAGAGGCAACAGATGTTTTTAACTTTATACCTCACTGGGACAGAATATCTCTGTTAGCCTGTGTCTGTCATCTGTCCATCCCTCCATTGTCCCTCCACTGTCCCCCCTTGTTCTTCTTCTCGGAAATGGTTCAAGGATCTTCTTTTCACAAACCAACAAGGTCCCTAGAGTTGGAAGAGCGAGTAGGAAAGTTGTTACCACAGAGGAAAAGTGATTTGTTCCTGGCAATAGAATTAAGAACATGGCCATTGTTTCTGAGAATTAAAACAAAAGCAATTAAATATGTTTAAGAAGAAATGTTCTCAAAAGCAGAAACTTCTGCTTGGTCACTAGTCACATGAAAATGACTATCTGAGCTTGGGGGCCCAGTGACTTTGCAGAGTTGCATCCCTTAGGTGATCCAGGAACCTATGGACATGGGTTCGAATCCCAAATTTACGCTGATTATATTTCTAGGTTTGTGGGCACCATACCCATGCTTCATACAGATGTGGAACACTAAAATTCAAGGCCTTTTCAAGGCTTCAACTGTCATTTTCAAGGCTTTTTTAGTTAGCCCGTCAATATTTAACACCAAACTGATATTAATGCATCCAAAGCCTCATAACCGTTTTATCATTTACCAGAAGACAAGAAATATGCCTGAATATTTCTTCCCCTCACAAGATTTTTTGTTTGTTTGTCCTTTAATGCCGCAATCAGCAATATTCCAGATACAAGACAGTGGTCTGTAAATACACAAGTCTGGACCAGACAACCCAGTGACTGACATTATGAGCATCAATCCAAGGAATTGTTATGCAATTTACCAAATCACTGAGCCTAACCACCCAATCCATTTAGCCGCCTCTTACGACAAGCAAAGGTTGCTGGGAGCCTATACTCTTACCCAGAATCCCCTCTCTCGGGAGGCGTGTAACAATCAGAACAACAGTGTGCAACAGTGCCTTGGTGCTAAAACTTTAGCCATACAACCCTCTTGAAATCTCCCTACATCAGGCTGTGTTTGGTTAATCATTACTGTATTGAAAACCTGATGAATATTACACGCAAGTCCAATATCATTCCTAAACACTCCAACTTGCTCAATAACTTTCTTACATAACATCTACCATGTGCATCAACAAAATCTAGATCTGAAAATATATTTCTTACACCTGTATAAGCATCAGAGATCGAGGAAGGTACAAAGTGTTTACATTGAAGCCTCACCTCCGGTGATCCCGAAGAACATGGGCCTTAGCATGATAAATATGGTTTTCATGAATTTGCAATAACAAAATTAAAAATAGTCCTATTAGACATTGATGTTGCGAGTGTTATCCATATCATATGCAATGACGTATAGCATTTCATGGTATTTCTGGGTGTTGTGAAATAACATTGTAAATTTGACATATAAGATTGTACAATACCATATAAGTTGAAGCAGGATCAAGAGGGATACATGGAGTCCCGTGTTAGGTTTTATGCCGGGAGTAAACATGTTTTAATATGACACTGTAAATGAATTAAAACAACTTTAAAATTGATAGAAAACAGCTGTTCGATTGAGCTGAGGTTAACTTCTGCTATGTCACATGACTTACATTGACTCGGAGAAAAGCGTGTGACTTTTTGCTTCAAAGTGAGATATAAGGACATTATTCTGCCTCTCAGACATGTTTGGGGTGGGGTATAAGGGATTTATTCTCCTGCTGAGAAATTTATTTCCCTCCAAGGCGGGATACACAGTATTTTATCAAGATCACCTGAACCAATCAGACCATTCGGTCATGGAGGTATGATAAACATCTTTATCAACCCATAATCAAGTTACATTTAACATTACGACTGATTCACTTCTTTTTAAGTTTATTGTAGGCTCGATGCAAGCCTTTTGATAGATATATTGGAGACAATTTGAAATTTGGAATCAAGATATCCATGTTGCATGTGGTGCAACAAAGTTTCAATCCAGTTTGCAAGATGAAAAAGTACCATCATTCACATTATGCTTTGTTGAATAATGGACCAATACTTGCAAAAAACATTTTGAAATAATAATAATAATAATAATAATAACAACAACTTTGCTTCAGGTTTTCCTGTACACCCCCCTCCCCCCCCTCCCTTCCATCATCCACCTCCAAGAAAATTTTAATATAAAATAGTTTGTCCCATTGCCAGAAAAGAAAATATGCTCTGTCTGATACATGCATGTTATTTATACACACCCTCATAAAAAATGAAATAAATGCTGGTATGTTGCTTTGGGAAAAGTTATATTTCACATTAATTTCAAGTCATTTGAAACTGGAGAAGGGCAGATACAGCCATGAACTCATTTGTCAGTCTCAAAGTCTTATTTATGCGTTTTATCTAACCCCACCATTTTACATCATGTGAGGCAATTACAAGATTCCTTAAAACACCATGCTGTGCAGAAAGAAAATGTATCTTGATGCATACATCCATGTTTTACAGAAAATGAAATAAATGGTGTGTGCATGTAGCTCCTATTTTATTTTAATGACTTCACCATCAGGTTTCAACTAACAATATATACTGCATAATATAACCATTATCATAAAGAGGATTCAATATTCCCACTTCCATTCCACTACGACACTGTAAAGCTTTCAAATAATTATGCTTATCGCAAAATGTTGAATAACTGGAGAGTTAGTCCAACATTAATTGTATTTAGACAAGAAACACATCCTCATTTCTGGTTTCACACAAGACACTAATATGTTTATGCGTCTGGTGCACACATACAAGATTCAAAAGTAGATAATTCAACGTGCATTAGGTTGTTCCAAGCATTTACAGGATGCTAAGTACATCGCCATGATTTCATCCCATCTTTCGTACTCTGATGATAAAAACTAAAAGTCTTGCTCTTTTTTTCTGGCATGGCTCAAAAACAATTACTAACACAAATGGTAAAGAAAAACTGACATGTTAGTTTTATTGTGGGAGACACCGACGGCTTGTTTTTTTATAATAGGTTAAAAGAGTATACCTCTTATCTGAGTTAAATATTTCTAAACAGAGTTTCTGTTTATAGCTGGCAAATAGGTTGGCAAAAATAGAAAACACTGATATTACTGTTCATAGATTGTAAAAAGTATAAATTTATTTTCTTCCTTGCATAGAAATGACACTATTTAACACCTATTTTGTTGGTACAACAATTAAGGTATATGAGAAGGTACAGGTTCATTGTCATAAAGAATGTTTTGTTTGTTTGTTGCTTAATGACATAGTCAGCAATATTCCAACTTTATGATGGCGGTCTGTAAATAATGGAGTCTGGACAGGACAAACCATGAACAACATGAGGAAACCATTAATGACATTCTGTTTTATTTGTGATCTTTTGATTAGAACATTGGAACAATCATCACCACCATCATTGCCATTGTGGAGACTATCCTCGAGACCAGAACCATCCAACAGTGCAGCATCTCCTTATGTCATCACCACTACAATCACCCAGCAGTACACATCACCGCTACCATCACCCAGCAGTACATATCACTACTACCATCACCCAGCTGTACACATCACCGCTACCATCACCCAGCAGTACATATCACCACTACCATCACCCAGCAGTACACATCACCACTACCATCACCCAGCAGTACACATCACTACTACCATCACCCAGCAGTACACATCACCACTACCATCATCCAGCAGTACACATCACCACTACCATCATCCAGCAGTACACATCACCACTACCATCACCCAGCAGTACATATCACTACTACCATCACCCAGCAGTACACATCACCACTACCATCACCCAGCAGTACATATCACCACTACCATCACCCAGCAGTACACATCACCACTACCATCATCCAGCAGTACACATCACCACTACCATCATCCAGCAGTACATATCACCACTACCATCACCCAGCAGTACACATCACTACTACCATCACCAAGCAGTACACATCACCACTACCATCACCCAGCAGTACATATCACCACTACCATCACCAAGCAGTACATATCACCACTACCATCACCCAGCAGTACACATCACTACTACCATCACCAAGCAGTACATATCACTACTACCATCACCCAGCAGTACACATCACTACTACCATCCTCACCACTACCATCACCCAGCAGTACACATCACTACTACCATCACCCAGCAGTACACATCACTACTACCATCCTCACCACTACCATCACCCAGCAGTACACATCACCACTACCATCACCAAGCAGTACACATCACCACTACCGTCACCAAGCAGTACATATCACCACTACCATCACCCAGCAGTACACATCACTACTACCATCACCAAGCAGTACATATCACCACTACCATCATCCAGCAGTACACATCACTACTACCATCACCCAGCTGTACACATCACCACTACCATCATCCAGCAGTACACATCACCACTACCATCATCCAGCAGTACACATCACTACTACCATCACCCAGCAGTACACATCACCACTACCATCACCCAGCAGTACATATCACTACTACCATCATCCAGCAGTACACATCACCACTACCATCACCCAGCTGTACACATCACCACTACCATCACCCAGCAGTACACATCACCACTACCATCACCCAGCAGTACATATCACTACTGCCATCACTCACCCAGCTGTACACATCACCACTACCATCACCCAGCAGTACACATCACTACTACCATCACCAAGCAGTACATATCACCACTACCATCATCCAGCAGTACACATCACTACTACCATCACCCAGCAGTACACATCACTACTACCATCACCCAGCTGTACACATCACCACTACCATCACCCAGCAGTACACATCACCACTACCATCACCCAGCAGTACATATCACTACTACCATCACTCACCCAGCTGTACACATCACCACTACCATCACCCAGCAGTACACATCACTACTACCATCACCAAGCAGTACATATCACCACTACCATCATCCAGCAGTACACATCACTACTACCATCACCCAGCAGTACACATCACCACTACCATCACCCAGCAGTACACATCACCACTACCATCATCCAGCAGTACACATCACTACTACCATCACCCAGCAGTACACATCACCACTACCATCACCCAGCAGTACACATCACCACTACCATCATCCAGCAGTACACATCACCACTACCATCACCCAGCAGTACACATCACCACTACCATCATCCAGCAGTACACATCACCACTACCATCACCCAGCAGTACACATCACCACTACCATCACCCAGCAGTACATATCACCACTACCATCACCCAGCAGTACACATCACCACTACCATCACCCAGCAGTACACATCACCACTACCATCACACAGCAGTACATATCACTACTACCATCACCCAGCAGCACATATCACCACTACCATCATCCAGCAGTACACATCACTACTACCATCACCCAGCAGTACACATCACTACTACCATCACCCAGCAGTACACATCACCACTACCATCACCCAGCAGTACACATCACCACTACCATCACCCAGCAGTACACATCACCACTACCATCACCCAGCAGTACACATCACCACTACCATCACCCAGCAGTACACATCACCACTACCATCACCCAGCAGTACATATCACTACTACCATCACTCACCCAGCTGTACACATCACCACTACCATCACCCAGCAGTACACATCACTACTACCATCACCCAGCAGTACACATCACCACTACCATCACCCAGCTGTACACATCACCACTACCATCACCCAGCTGTACACATCACCACTACCATCACCCAGCAGTACATATCACCACTACCATCACTCAGCAGTACACATCACCACTACCATCATCCAGCAGTACACATCACCACTACCATCATCCAGCAGTACACATCACCACTACCATCATCCAGCAGTACACATCACCACTACCATCACCCAGCAGTACACATCACCACTACCATCACCCAGCAGTACACATCACCACTACCATCATCCAGCAGTACACATCACCACTACCATCATCCAGCAGTACACATCACCACTACCATCATCCAGCAGTACACATCACCACTACCATCACCCAGCAGTACATATCACTACTACCATCCTCACCACCATCACCACTACCTCGTCAACATTGGTACCATCATCACTATCACAGCTAAGTGTACTTTCTTCCCAATCATCAATACTATATCACCCCAATCGATCACTACATCACCATGCATGATCACTACCATCACCACTACCATCAGAATGCCTACCATCATCTTCACCATACTCCATCAGTGCCAACATCATCACTACCTTCATCACCATCACCATCACCATCCTCCTCCTCCATCTTGATGATGCAAACCAGTAGAGGCAGTCTGCAATTATGTTTCTGAAAGGAAGATGCAATACTTTTGAAAAAGACATTTTCTTGAAAATGATCCTAACATTCGGAACAAGCCATTTTGAAAGTTCTTGACAACTGGTTGCCATATTTCTTTAAAATTCCTTATTATTTATCATAGCTGCACCATTAATATAAATCAGGTCCATTGTATGTAAAACATGAATAAAGACACATTCCACTGTCAGCAACAATAAAATATCTGAAATGAAAAAATACTAATCCATCCAAACAATTGCAAAACAGTTCTATCAGCATAAGATATTTTCTTCATAGATGGACCAAGGCATGAGTACCATTCCATCACAAGAATGTTAAATGTTATCGACAAATGTTAAACTGTACATTGTACAACCGATTCCTTAGAGAGCAATTTCAATTCTAAGCAATTATTTGACCACAAACTGATTACATTAATTAAGTTGCTTTGACACAAAGGTCAATTATGCACATAAAATTATCTAAAATTAAAGATGCAAATTTTAAAGCAACATTTCTTTAATATTACCAAGACACCAAGGGGAGGATTGTTTTCATGAGCATATGCTACGCGTCTTTAACCCTTTACATGGCACAAATTTGTGGTTTCGTTCATGAGAGGAACCCAAATGACGCTGTCAGCCTGATAAAAGCCTAGCGCGATTTCATTGATCAGGGAATTAGCGAGTGTAAGAGTATCAAGGATGTCGTCAAATAACTGTCTCAAATTGGTTTGAAATCAATCAATAGTTTTCAGATCAAAGGAGACGATTTCATCAAGCGACTGCCGAATTTAGGTGGGATGTGAAGAGTATTTCGCAGGAACGTAATAGACTCCGGAAAAAAGCCGGCGAGAGCTTCATTTCTCCGAAGGCCGAACGCAGGGTGAACGCAAGGCCACTTAGATCAAAGACAATTTAAATTCACAATTTCGATTTCTCTGGGCCTAAAAGGCTTGAAATCTTTGATTTTAGGATCCTAAATGTTCAAAAAATATTGTTTGCATTTTGGAATAACTAAACCTTTTAATTTCTAATCTATCATACAGAAGGAACAAAAAACACATTTGGCTGAAATGGAGACGCAGAGAACATTTTTGTCAGACATGACAATTTGTCACGGATGTCAAATCTAAAAGATATCTTTGTCATTTTAGCTCATAACAAATCGTAGCTGCTGGTTTAGTTCTATTTATATCCTGATCATCCACAGAACACAAGCTTCTTTCAAGAAAAGAGTTCCCATCTCAGTTGACATGTAACATTTCAACACGGAACATTTGGAATATGTCTGAAGAATCAACTGTGCCCATGACCATAGTTCCATTTCAGTTTAGCGCACAATTAGCGCATCTGTATTAATCAAGAGACGCTGAGCAGATTGGGAATGCGATGTGCAAGTAAGCATGATCTTCCTTCAAAATTCTGTGAGATGGAGTCTAGACCATGGTACGCCTGGCCGGACAGGAATCACTTGAACCCCATCACCCAACAGTCTGTACCTTCAGAAACATTCTCAAAGAATGATCTGAGGTGAGTATTGATTCCAAATTCACTAAGCCAAACCATTGTAAATTTTCACAGCAAGTCCAGCAAAGGTAGCCAGAGTCTGTTCATCTTGCCAGTGATGGAGATGAATCTTATTGCGTTCTTCCTGTGTCAGACTATGTTTGATGCAGTTCTTGGATTTATTTGTACACTACATTAAGCAACTCTATATCCAGACATATTCTTTACTTCCAAGTCCATATTCAGTTCTCCAAGTCTATATCCAGACATATTCCTGACTTCAAAGTCCATATCCAGTTCACCAAATCTATATCCAGACATATTCCTGACTTCAAAGTCCATATTCAGTTCTCCAAGTCTATATCCAGACATATTCCTGACTTCAAAGTTCATATCCAGTTCACCAAGTCTATATCCAGACATATTCCTGACTTCAAAGTCCACATCCAGTTCTCCAAATCTATATCCAGACATATTCTTTACTTCCAAGTCCATATCCAGTTCTCCAAGTCTATTTCTGACATATTCCTGACTTCCATTTCCATATCCAGACATATTCCTGACTTCAAAGTCTATATCCAGAAAGTGTCCTGATTAACAAGTCCATATCCCTGACAAACAAGTCCATATTCAGGACTTCCAAGTGAGGACTTTGTTTGCAAGAAAACTAGCATGACAACTGTAAATAAGCTTCAATCCAATAACAACAGAAGCCTCAACTTCAAACTGTTAACACAATCATTTCATTCTAAGCTTCAACATGTGAAATATACCATCATGGCTGGGAAGTGTTCTTTTCACAACTGCTTCAAGCCATAATGTTTTCTCTGAATAGAGGAAGCAAACATTTGATTTTTTGTACTTTTCAGGAGATGGAGCATGGCCAATGTACAATTTTATAAATTATATTATTATTTCAGAATTTTTAGGAGAAAGTTATTTTTTAAAAATAAATCATAGGCTGAACCCCCTGCAAGAAAGACAACAAGTTTCCTCTGCAGTACAACTTTACAAACTATGCGACAATCTTGACAATCCACAAACACACAAAACGATATTAAGAGGATTAGACGAAAATATTCTCATTAAATCTGGTGAATTAACCAAGCCAGACTTTGCTTCAATTTAAGACATTACTCAGACTGAAATTGACATCGCTTCAGTAAACATGTAATATCACAGACAGCCACACTCACAGACAGTCACAGACAGTCGAAGATTGTCACAGCTCAACTCGACAACTGTTCCATCTATTTTTCATTGAATATGGCATAGACAAGCTCTTGCATAATATAATTAATTCCCTTTTGGAAGGTTTCGATTTCCCTGGGCAACACTGCTAACAACTATCAAATAAAGATCAGTAAATAATTGGTTAAGATCTCCAAAAGAGATAGATCCATTTTAGCTCCCCAGCCATCACTGAAGAGAAAAAAAAATCAATATTTTCAAATCCTATGTTCAAACATGTGAGAAAAAACGTGTAAGATGGTAACCAGATATTTTGCAAAATACAGGTTCTCCTAATTACTGCATGCAACAGAGACGGCGCTTCATCAATAATAGAACAGTCGCTAATGAAAATACAGTCTTTGCAGTTATTACTAAGGCTTTTCAACGAACATCTCTATTTTTACATGAAGGGCTCATGCTTCTAAAGAAGCTGTCAATGCAATATGCACAAAAAGTCAAACGTTGTCTCTTGACTGTCAAAGTCTCACAAATGTCATTTTCGACTGTTTTTACGAAAACAAAACATAAACGAATAAAGTAGACTCGCTTGTTTACATTTCTTGATAAATTTCCGGCATCATGTTAAAATGTGTTCACATGTGTTGGTTATGACATATGTAGGCGTTTAGCAATACCTCTGAATGAAATACATTTGCATGTTAATGACATCTTTAAAAATATATAACGTCAACGCCTGAGAATAGCCAGTCTTGATAATCTACTGAAAGAGATTCCGTTGGGCGTAAAAGGCTTAACAATTTCTCCTTTTCATATTCTCATATTATGAGCTTTTGTGTCATTAAAGGTGCCATTGTAAGCATTTGAACGAGAGCATTTTGATTGAGATATTACATATGAATGTTATTGAATTCTTATTAAAAAAAATGTATATCGCCCTTTTTTTAACTGAGCTTTTGCATCATCAAAACAGCGCCTTTGTAGTTATTGGATCGGTAGATAATTTGATCATAGATAGCACCACCACCATCAACCACAGCTTCAACAACTTCATTAAATATCAAATATCTCCCCATCACCTGCTTCAACCAATCAGATATCAATCCTGAAGCAAACATCAACCAATCAGAACCCTCTTTCACTCAACATATCCCTTTGTGCAAATCATCACAGATGGAAGAAAATCAGAAAAAAATACCTTGGACAAAATTATAAACATTGAGTTGACCGTTTGTAATTAAACTTGTAAGATTTCTTTTCTGAACAAATATTGACAGAAACAAAGGTCAAATGTAAAGCTACGTGATTGATTTTTTGTGTGTTATAAGAGAAAATGCACATACCATTGATTACTGCATTAAAACTATTCTGTAACAGGAAATACATGCAAAGTTGTAGACAATTGTTTTGATAAAGTATGCTCTTTCGCTTCTCAACATACAGCAAAACGATATGAAGTTTTTTACTTTGCATTGTATGTATAAACAAAATAAATCTCAAAAGAATGGAGGCACACAATAATGCAATACTTTCAACATGTGTCAAATTATCGTTATGAGCACACTTCTATTGGTTTAAAAGCGTGCTGTGAACAATTTGGTTGATTACTTCAAGAGTAATTAAATGATTTAACGGAGAAATCATGACAATCTGTTGGTTTTACTTCCGGAATGAACAGATTCGAGCGATTTCTCCGACTTAAACCATGTTATGGTTGATGTTTAATTTTGCACAATGACCTATTATAGTTTTTTCAGTCTTACTTGCAAAAAATGCATGTTGTGAATCGCCAGTGAATTCCTGACCTAGAATCAAACACAACCATAGCGTGACACCATCATAATGGTTTAAATATATTCACATATATCACATCCTTGGGGTATATGTGACGTGGGTAGACTACATATATACTACTCAAAAGAAGTTAAAGACCACCCATATCACATCCTTGGGGTATATGTGACATGGGTAGACTACATATATACTACTCAAAAGAAGTTAAAGACCACCCAATTTTTTCATGTGACTATAGTTAATCTGATTAAGATGATAGATTAACATTAGTTATACGGTGGAAAAACCAGATGTTCTGAAACTTCTTTTGAGTAGTATTAATAGTCTGCTAGTCATGTCACATATACCCCACATTTATTTGAGTAGTATATTTTGATGATGCTATTGCAGAGTCAATGATTGTATTGTTTGTCTGATAGCTGTCAACCTTCATTTTAAGCTTGTAACATTTCAACACATTTTGATGATGCTATTGCAGAGTCAATGATTGTATTGTTCGTCTGATAGCTGTCAACCTTCATTTTAAGTTTGTAGCATTTCAACACATTTGACACAAGCCCTAATGAAATGAGTTCTGATAAAAGTCACTTTGACACAAGTCCAATTAAAGCTTGACACTGCCACAAGGAGAAACCATGACAGCTCCCATAATCAGCCGATTCCCGTGTTCCCTTCCAAAACATCAAACAATGAAACCTCTCCAAAACAGCTCATCTCTGTGCAAGTCAAAGAATGTGAAACTCTGAAAATGTTTCACCTTCTGGCAAAGCAGAAAGT